TCTTATTTATTTTATTTTTATTTTTATTTTACATATTAAATGTAAATGAAAAAAATTCATTTGAATTCAATCATAGAAGGAACAGTAAGACGAAAAAAGAATCGAGAGCGAGTTATTTTTGAAAGTCTTTTTTGCTCATGTCTAGGGAATTTTTCACGGCTTTCAAATGCCACTGACATAGCTTCTCTATGCTGTTCTAAAACTCGTTTGGACACGATAGCAAGCAATTGAACGAATCTTTCTGTTCCTTGTATGTGTGGAATTTTCGGATCAGGCAGCGGTGGATAATTGTTTTCTAGATATTATTCTAGATTGTCATAAGGAATACTTAAAGTAAATGGTGGTTCGAATATGACTGAATTATCATTCATGACAATCATATTCGTATAATCCGTGTTTTTTTCATTTACATTTCATATATTTTTATCTTTTAAGTTGAATTTTTGAATAAAAAAAATATATTAAAATAAGTAAAGAATTTGTTTTGTAAAATTCAGAGAACAAATGAAAAAGAAACGAATTTTTTGTCCTAAATTGAATAAAATCGATATAAGTTGTGCATGAATTCACCTTCCTTCTCCCTAATTTTCACGGCTGAATATTTTAGGCTATTTAAAAATTGAAATTGCATTATGAGAAAATCAAATTTTGTGGATTTTCGCAACAATGTTGTCGATTTTCGGAAAAAAGGCGTTAAAATTAAAAAAAAAATACGGAAGCTGCCTCTGTCGGCCCTCAAAAGAAAAAATTAATGCCAAAAATGGATTTCTCGACCCCAAAAATCCCCAGATTCACATTTTGGCTAGTTTCCAATACAGTTGTTTCAACAGGTGAGCCACTTTTTGAAAAAAAAAACTAGACAGAAAAAATCGCTGGCTCGAAATTCATTTTAGACCTATGGTTTCTTGGGCAAAAATGCTTGAAATGACCCAAATAAACATAATCGCGATGTGCCTCTGTTAATTTTTTTGGGCCCCTACAAATCGACCCGCCCTAATATGAATATATACATATATCGAAGTGTGTATTTAATCCTTTTCATAACGCAGCCAAAAAATAATTGATCGTATATTCTATGGCACATTAGAGATTAACAATAATGTGCTATTAATATAAATACTGCATACAAGCATTACACGTCGCATTAATACGTAAACCTCTCTAAAAGCCCTTTACCCGTATAACGCTTTTTTCGTTGTTGTAAAAATTTGAAAAGTGTTTAATATAAATATTTCCGTTTCTTTTCTCTTTAATAGTCTTGAAGCGCCAGATGTGACGGGTAGCAGCTTGACACTGGGTACAGCCGGTTCCCGACGCACAGTTTATTTAATTGATGAAAACCAAAAAATACCCGAAACATCAAATAGCAATAGTAGTGATGTAAGCATAGGCGGACGACTGTCGACATCGCATTCACCCTTGAATTCAAGCGCTTGCTCATCATCGACCACCTTAGGTGGAAGTGGCGCATGCATGGGCGCCGATATAGGAGTTGGTGTTGCTGAACCGCAGACACCTACAAATGCGACACCAGTACCAACGATAAACGAAAATCCAACAACATTCCTTATGTATAATCGCATTAATACGACGATTGGTAGTAGTGCTGGAACTGAGGGCAGCATAGCCGACGGTACATGTCGTGAGCCAACATTAACGCCAAACAATAATTCTACACCAGTGTCTGCGGCGTCAGCAACAGCGCAGCAGGATGATAAATTGCAGCGAAAACGCACAGAAGATAAAAGTAATAGTATTTGGTATGAATATGGATGTGTTTAGACAATAGCAATTTAATAATAGTTAGCTGTAAATGCATGTATGCTCATAAGTTTTTTATGAGTTAAGTGTATCGGCGATATACTAAATAGACTTATGATCTACATATCTTGTGCCTTCTGTTTCTTTTTGACTTTTTTGAAGCACAAAAGTTGCTTAATGCAATAACACCTACTGTCATCGAAATATATGCCCCAACTCGAATATTTAATCATTTAAAATTGTTTAAATGAATTTGCACATACTCCCCTATTGTAATTTTTTTTACGTCATGAAAGCCTCATTAAATTTAATAATTAATCAGTATGATTTTAATATATAGCTTTACTATTTTACTTATTGTCCTGCCTTTTAAGCGAGAGTATTAAATTTTTGTAAATGATCGAATTTTATTTAAGTTTACATTGAATTTCATAGGCACGGCACATTTCACTCATCTAAGCTGAGCTGAATCTCTCCAAATTAAATTCATTTGGGTATTCTCATTTCCCCATTTGATTCATACCATATTCAATGAATTTAGATGTTCGAAATTGTCATTATATCTACCCAAATACGGCCCCGCATAAAATTGTTGGCACAGAGAAATCTTCACAATATACATATGCAAAATTGTTTGCTTTTAAATTTTTAAGCGAATTTTTTATAAAAATAGAGTTTATACTACTACAACAATAAGATAAATTTATAAACTTTGTGAATAACTCAGAAAAATTCAAAAAATTAGCAACTTTCTAATACCAAAAGCGATTTTGCTTTGACCAGGGATTGAACCCAGGCCCTGCGGAGTGTAAACGCGCACTGCTTACGACTGTGCTACACACAGCGTCCGTGCGCTGAGCCGACATTAAGTGGAAGAAATGAAATAATCAACTTAAAAAATTACCCACCTGTATGTTTTTGTACTCATTCTTGAAGCGAAACAAATTTCGAAAATCGTCAGTCAGCTTTGAATGCTCTGTGCGCAGTATAGCTAGGTCATCTTCATAGGTCTTCATTGTTGAATTCTCCTTGGTCAAATCAACAATTCGCTTTTCTAAATTCGAAATGTGCTCGCGTAGCTCACGTGCCTCATTGCGTGAATCGCGTAACAGCAACTTCAGCTGTTCTTTGCCAGATGCAAGTGATTCATATTCAGCTGAAAGCTGATCGTGCAAAGTTCGCAAAGCCATCAAGTCGTGTTGTATATTCTTATTTTCTTGCTTAACCGACTCGCTTTGCTTCAACAAATGATCCTTGTCGGAGGCAAGTTGTGTGTTGGCCACTTGTAGTGCGACCAATTGAGTGTTGAGAGATGATATCTGTGAGCCTAGCGTTACCACATCTACATCGAGTCGTGCCTTTTCTGCTTCTAATTGAATATTGACAGTATGTAGCGCCGCATAACGTGTACTCAACTCATTGTGGCTCTCCACTAGCCTCCTTATTTCCATACGATCCTGTTGTTGATTTTTCGGTGAGCTTAGAATAACTTTGTGTTCGAAACTTAGCTCCTGTGGTTCATTACTGGGTGATAGTTCAATATTCTTCTCCACCGTGTAGATCTCTTTGCGATGGCATAGCACGCACATATCTGACTTGGCATTTTCGCTTTTACGTTGTTCCTTCGAAACATTTAACATAATTTCGCGCACAGTTTTGAATGTTTCGGGATTTCGTACCAATTTTTCGACGACAGTTTCCACATTCAAGTCGGCATTACTATCGGCTTGACTACTAGCGGTTAATCCGAGTTTTTCCAAGTTCTGACGCACCTTGTTGGTGGCCAATGTACCAGAAACTAAATCATTTCGAAGTGTTGCTATCGTTTCGTAGTCAATGTCGCGCTGTGAAACTAATTCCTGGTTTTGCTTTTCAAGCTCTGCGACTTTTTGTTGTGTCAGCTCTATCTCCGCCAATTCCTTTGTGAGACGATCAATCTCTTTCATCTTTGCTTCCAGCTTTGCTGTCGACTCATCAAGTTGCACTGATTTTTCTTCGCTATTTTCTTTCAACTTGGTGACCTCCTTCAAAAGGCTGTTATTCTCACGCTCACATGCACATAGCTTTGCCTCCAAATCGTACACCTTTTCTTTAACCTTACTCACTTCCTGAGAGCGCTCCTTCAGCTGTTGGATTTCCTTTGTACGTGAGTCCAGCAAACGATCCAAATCATCAGCACGACGCTGTATGCTTTCGTTTAGAGTTTGCAGACGTTGTTTCTCTTTGTTCAACGTTTCTACATGCTGATCTAAGTCCATTAACTTATTACGTTCCAATTCACGTTCTTGACTTTGACGTTCATACGATTTTTGCCGATCATCCATTGTGTCCTGCAGCTTTTTATTCTCTTCCAAAGCGCTTTTAAAGACATCTTCTAATGCGGAGTTTTGTTGCGTTAGGCGTTGGATATTTTCTTGCATTTGTTCAAGTTTTAAAGATAACTTCTTCTTGTCCTTCTCTAGTTCTAGTATTTTGTTGGTAGACTCGTGAAAGGAGTTCTCCCTTAGCTGATCCAACGCAGCAGCAAGTTGCTTATTTTTCAATTCCAATTTTAAAATTCTTGTCTGAAAAGGGAATAGCTTAGTACTAATAAACAAAAAGCGTAGGTATTGAATCGTACCTGCGCATCGTTGGTTAGTTGTTCTGATAAACTGTTATCGCCAGAGTTGCATTCATCCTCATTATCCGAAAAAGTGCTGTCAAGTCTTTGTGTGCTGTTTATGTTTTTCGCGACTAGTTGCAACTGGGTGTTTTCTTCCAACAATTCTTCCATCTTTGAACGGTCAACATCTCGTTCTAATGCCATATCGTTCAACTTTTGCTTGTATTTTATAATCTCCGATTCTAGTGTCATGACATGTTCAGAACGTTTCCTTGCCCGTTGTAGCTGGTCTTCCAACATTTCTCTACAAATAACGGAAGAAATAGTTTTTTTTTTTTGAACTTTGTGAGCTTCATTTACTTTGTTTCCAACAGCATTCGATTGTCTTCCCGTAATTCTTCTACACGTGTCTTATAAAAATCGGCGTCTGTTAGTTTTTCGCGAAATTTTTGCACTTCAATTTCCAAACGATCAGCACGCTCGGCACGTTCTCTTAGAACATCCACTTCATCACGGTAAGCGTATGCACGCTTTGCCTCAGCATACCATTCTTGACTCTTAAATTCAAAATGACATCAATAACATTTTGAAAATATGTTATTATTTTTTATTTACCTCTGCGCGCAGTTTTTCGTACTGAGCATTTTTATGCTCTAATTCTTCACGCAATTCGAGTTGGTTTTCAGCCTTTTCCTCTCTGAAAATAAAATAGTGTAAGTTAATTGGAAATATGTTATTATAATGTTAAAATAATTATATGAATCGAACTGCAGGTAATATATTGCAAACATCGTGCAAAGCTTAAGCCTAAACTTGACCATAATTTGAATAATACAGTGACACATTTTTTTTAATACATACTATTGCCGCTAAAGAAGTTTTACCTGCAAAAATTAATTGTAAATACCAGGGAACGTAACGGTTATGCTTTTTTTCAAAAAAGTCAAAAAATAATCGTTTGTATTTCACCGACATGTTTTCAGTCAAAAATAAAAGTTACAAATCGACTTTTATTTTTTCGGTCAAAAATAAAAGTTAAAATATGACTTATTTTTTCGGTCAAAAATAAAAGTTAACACTAGACTTCGAAAAGCATTTATAGAAATAGGCACCCATAAGGGGAAGCGCATTGATGTTGGATTACTGGGAGAGCAAAAAATTTATATATCCCCTATTAAGAGATCTCGCATGTATTATACATCAAGTGCCAGCGACACAAGTCAGTGTAGAACGCGCGTTCTTAGCACTAAGCTTATTCTTAGCGATTTGCGATACAATTTGTCGGAGCAGCAGTTGGCAGCTATACTATATACTAATTGTTAAATGGAATTCAGAATAATTCTTGTAAAAAGATGAACAACTTAAAGCTTAAGTTAAAGAAACAGAAAAAATAAAGTCAAATTTAAACTTTTATATTTGACAGAAAAAATAAAAGTCAAGTTTTAACTTTCACTTTTGACTGAAAAAATATCAGTCGAAAAATAACGGTTAATTGCTGACTTTTTTGAAAAAAGTAAAAAATAATTAAATAACTTTCTTTGGCTTCTAGTGGATATTGCTTACAGTTCTTGTCGTAATTTGCGAATTCTCGATTTCAAATCAGCTAGTTCTACTGCCATGTGATTATTTTCAGAATTGGCAGATGATGGACAAGATGTCGTAAGCGCGCCAGATAACGGTGATAGTGGATTACTCATTGTGCCCTCACCACACGCCGACATATTTAAATCAGATTCCGTGCACATAGATGCAATCCAACGCAAGTACATATTATCACGTTCCTTTGTCAAGCGCAGTATATGATTATACATGTTGGCGGGTGTGAGCAAATTTACAGATTCCTTTGTAAGCACAAGACTTTGATCCTCAGTCACCTATGAATAAAAATAAAACAATTGCAATTATGACTGTATTCTATATCTATTTAAATTAATGCACCAAATTTTCTTACTTGCTTAATCAATCCTACAATAGCATGTTGTGTTTCAACGTCTAGCATTTTTATGCGCCCAATAAAAATTTCACGATTAGGACACTGCACTGCAGCACCCAATAATAATGTTAGCATAATCTTCATTTGCTCTAGGCCCTGTTTGGATTCTGGATGGTAGCCTAGTATGTAGACATCGGGAAGCACGAGTATGGTGTGCTCGAGCTCTTCCTCGAAAAGAGATTTCAAGTTGCGTGCAATGCATTCAAAGTTCTTCGATCGTGCTATGCATAACGAAACCCCAACTAGATCGCGAATGTCTGTTGGATGATTTTGTGGTTCCGGGTCTATTTGTAGCCATACACTGTGTATAATGTTACCATCTAACAAGGACGAATAACCGGTGAGTAATTCTGGACGCGACAAACATGATTCCAACTGAAATATATAATAAATAAAAAGTGCCAAAAACTCTTATATTATCGATTATTCGAAAAAAAGTTATTTATTTAAATGTATATATGTATGTATATCCATATACATATATATTGCGTTCATTGATGCAAACAAAGTCCGCCCGTGCAAGAGCAGACAAACGCCTACCTTGTAAACTACCAGACTTGGCAATAGGCTTCCATATTTGGTAGCAAGACGGCTAATTATTATAATTTTATGCTAATTAGGTTTTAACAAACTATTATTTATGTATAATTAGTTCTAACAGAAATAAAGCAACATTTTGTATAATGCAATAGTGTTATGGTAGTACACTCATAATAATGTATGTGCATACCTATGTACATACAGTGGTCCACAAAATAATAGGAGTGCGTTATTTTGGTCAGTTTTTGCTATTTGTCTTTTGTTTATTTAATGTTTATTATTTTTATACAAAAGTCAAGCTGGGTATACAACAAACAACGAATAAATTCAGATTTCAACCTTTGTACAAAAATTATTAAAATTCTGTAAATTTTCACCAAAATATCAAACTTTTTAATCAGAATCTTCAGAGAAAATTCTGGTATGCAGTTTTATAGCCCATTCAATTCTAGTCTGAAGAAGTGCAAGTTTCAAGCTGCTAAAAAATTCCGTTGATTTTTGAGAATTTTTTCGGTTGAAGGTGTTTCACGTTTTTTCCATACAAAGTATGTTCGACAATTTTCTTTTATATGGGGACAGTGCCAGCAGAAAAAATTGCCAAAAATCAACGGAATTTTTTAGCAGCTTGAAACTTGCACTTCTTCAGACTAGAATTGAATGGGCTACAAAACTGCATACCAACATATTTTCTAAAGATTCTGGTTAAATAGTTTGAAATTTTGGTGAAAATTTGCAGAATTTTTATAATTTTTATACAAACTTGAAAATGTAAATTTATATGGTGTTTGTTGTATTACCAGCTAGGCTTTTACAAAAAAATACGAAACATTAAATAAACTAAAGACAAATAGCCAAAACAGGTTAAAATATCCCACTCCTATTATTTTGTGGACAACTGTAGGTAAATGATTATACATACATACATATGTACAGAAAATATATATATATATATATATATATAATAATATATTATATATTTAAATTTATTTATATCTATCTATTAATATCTATTTAAGTGTTTGGATAAAAACATTAGTTTTAAAATTACCCATGTAACCAAAGCTCCATTTATAAATTCATCAATTTCCATTGGTGTAGCTGTTCCAGCGTTAGCCATTTTTCAACTTTCACATATAAAGCTACAGACTCCAGAGTTGGCAGTTGAAGCTTGGAGATACGTAGTACACAATGGAAGCACGTTGGCTGTTTAATTTTCACTGGATCGCACAACTCCTCGTTTGAATAAAAATGTACTCAATTAGCTTTTATTCATTACAACAGCATGCAATAAAGAAATTTGTTTTTATACTTATATGTATTTCTCTACACTTAAACACAATGCAGCTGCAAAAAACCAGTACAAAACAGTGCATTTTTCGGATTGTAAAATGTTCATGATGAAGTTCGTTTAGTCCAAAACATTTTCATTTGATAAAAATTTGCAAAAATACTTTTTATTCATTCCTTGAGCAATTTTACTATTTCTTTTCACCGATTTTAGAGCAAAAAATGGCTATCCTTTGCCCACGGCTAAATGCAAAAAGCAACAATACTTCTCATGTAGAGGGTTGCCACAGCAAAAAATTAAGGCTGCATATTGTTATGTTTACGTCTTTGGATGTTTTCGTACGTTACAGCGAACATTCCGTTATGATTAAGCTGATGCCCAACACTGCGAAAACTGCAACTCACAGCAAACATTGCATCACATCCTCAACGATTGCCCTCTATACGGAGAATTAAAACAAACATACTCGACTTACAGAACATTTCGGAAATATTCGCCATTCCCACCAGCACAAACATTGAAAAAATCGCAAGATTCGTTAAGCTATTTATTTGACCATTTAACCACCACGTAAAACATACACAAATATAAACACAACTCATTCCTGCAACCTAGATCTGATGGCCCCGGTAGCCAAAGCTCATATGAACTATTAGTTCAGATATTCATATCAGCACTAAAAATAATAATAATTAGCTGATGCCAAATAAAACTTTGTGGCTTTGCGTGACATTTATAACTTCGTCAGCAAAGCACCAGACGCAAAAGGGTGGAATACGATCCAAATATCGCGATCCGTATTGATGGTGTGACAGGCGCCTAAATATTTTGAAATCCATCAATATGGATCACGATCCAAATATCGCGATCTGTTTTGATGGCGTGACAGGCGTCAAACGTCTGACGATCTGGCAGCTTGCGGTTATGGAATATTTATCTATCTGTCTAAACTTTGACAAGTTCATTAAATGCTGTGTTTTCGCAGGCAATGATCGGGATCCACATAAGAAATTTGCACGCAAATGCAACGAAATGATCCCTGATAGAGACCTGGATCAATTTATGATCCGCCATTTTTGGTTTGTGTCACTGATAATATGGCAGTACGACTTGGTAGCATTGACAAATGAATGTGTGCACGAACATATATTCTGCCATTGCTTCTTTTAACTCGCTGCAAATAAATTGCATACCCTGCAAAAATCGTTGGATCATGTATTCTATTTGTGGTAAATTGGAGTACTTACAAAAGTGTTCCTCTGTCATGCTGTAGCAGACCAACTGGTGTCTCTGCGCTAGCTCATTGTTTGTTATCCGATCACTGCTCGTGTTTTAACGAAACTTGATTGAAGTGAGCATTTGAAAGCACTGTAGCTGAACGTGTAGAGATGCTCGCTGTTAGTTCTTAGCTCCCAGCATGTTCGGGTTCGAATACANCTTTTAACTCGCTGCAAATAAATTGCATACCCTGCAAAAATCGTTGGATCATGTAGTCTATTTGTGGTAAATTGGAGTACTTACAAAAGTGTTCCTCTGTCATGCTGTAGCAGACCAACTGGTGTCTCTGCGCTAGCTCATTGTTTGTTATCCGATCACTGCTCGTGTTTTAACGAAACTTGATTGAAGTGAGCATTTGAAAGCACTGTAGCTGAACGTGTAGAGATGCTCGCTGTTAGTTCTTAGCTCCCAGCATGTTCGGGTTCGAATACAGTCAGAGGCAACATATAGGCTGCATTTCTTTATTCATTTTGAACGTTTGGAATAAAATTTTTTGTTTACTTATTCTTTAGAACGTTCCTGATGATATGTTAACGTATATTCCAAACGCATTCTGTTTATTCCGGCTGTGAATTGGGATTATCCGGAATGTATAAAGAAATGCAGCCATAATTTTTAATTTTTGTCTTGGTTTTTATTAATTTCGAAAAAGTATTTGAGAAGTGAAGAACAAAAGCGTGTACAAACGAAAAAATATAGCAACAATGCCATTGTTAATATGTTGGAGTAGTTTTGTGCTACTCTGATGTAATGCGGGGATGGAGTATATGGTCCTGCCCTAGGACATCGCAATGTTAATTGGACCATATTTTTTATATGAATTGTGGTTAATTTTGGAGTACTCCTTGGTCCTTAGGGAGTACTCTTTACACGCATGCATGGAGTAGTCGCGATTTTTGCAGGGTAATAGTGAATATTATTTTGCTTAAATGTACCCTTCCCCATTTAGTGAGTTCATTTTTATAATTTCGTCTTCATCGTGCTAGTAGTATAAAATTAGTGCTGCCAACTCCAATAATATCCAGACCGTTTCGGACCCAAATAAACACAACTAAAGATACTTTCCACACACCTGAAAGTCGGTAAATCAACGAGTTGATTGTATCAAAATAAACAAAATGCGACTTGTAAGTAAAAATTAATAAACAATTATTAAAAAATTAAAATTAACATTTTGTCACTATAGTATTGCTTAAGCAACGATTTGGCAAAACATTGTTATGTTATTACATTCAAGGGACTCCGTATTATGCTAGACTGTGGCCTCACAGAGCAGACGGTGCTCAACTTTTTGCCACTTCCATTTGTGCAGAGCGTGAAATTATCAAACCTCCCAAATTGGATAATAAACCGCGAACATGATCCCCAAATGGACGGCGAACTAAAGGAGTGCTGCGGTCGAGTTTTTGTTGACTCTGCGCCTGAGTTTACCCTACCCATGGATAAGATGGTCGATTTTAGTGAGATTGATGTGATATTAATATCTAACTATCTGAATATGCTGGCGCTGCCCTATGTAACGGAGCACACTGGTTTTAAAGGAAAAGTGTACGCAACAGAGCCCACATTGCAGATCGGCCGTTTCTTCCTAGAAGAGCTAGTGGAGTACATTGAAGTTGCGCCTAAGGCGAGCACGGCACATTTGTGGAAAGACGTTTTACATTTATTGCCTAGTCCAATAAGTGAGGCGTTTCGGCCAAAAAAATGGAAAACTATATTTAGTTTGAAGGATGTGCATAACAGCCTTGCTCGTGTAACCATTATGGGTTACGATGAAAAACTGGTAAAAGATTTTGATAATAATTTCATATAAATAACTAAATCTAAAAATATTTTCTTATTTCTCTTTTATTTTAAGGATATATTGGGTGCTTTTATAGCAACGCCAGTCAGTTCAGGATATTGCTTAGGCTCGAGTAATTGGGTGCTGAGCACGGCACACGAAAAAATCTGTTACGTTAGTGGGTCATCAACACTAACCACCCATCCACGCCCTATTAATCAATCTGCACTTAAACACGCAGATGTGTTAATAATGACAGGCCTAACACAGGCCCCTACTGTTAATCCAGATACGAAGTTGGGCGAACTATGCATGAACGTCGGTAAGTAAACGCACCATTAGGTAAAAAGATTAATGCACATATTTAATTTCTCTTTATCGTAATTTTATTATAGCACTAACTATACGTAATAATGGATCTGCATTGATACCCTGTTACCCTTCTGGCGTGGTGTATGATCTTTTTGAGTGTCTTACGCAGAATTTGGAAAACGCAGGTCTCAATAATGTGCCCATGTTCTTCATTTCTCCAGTAGCAGATAGCTCGTTAGCATATTCAAATATTTTGGCTGAATGGCTGAGTTCAGCAAAACAAAATAAAGTCTACCTGCCCGATGACCCCTTTCCACATGCCTTTTATTTGCGTAATTCAAAATTGAAACATTATAAACATGTGTTTTCGGACGGATTCAGCAAAGATTTTCGACAGGTATGTTAAGTTAAAAGACGCACGTGAACCTTAGAAAACGTTGCATTGCATTATTTTTTTTTTAAGTTTCTTGCTTAAACTTTTCTGTCTTTTTAGCCATGTGTTGTGTTTTGTGGACATCCAAGCTTGCGATTCGGCGATGCTGTTCATTTTATAGAGATGTGGGGCAATAATGTCAACAATTCAATTATCTTTACAGGTAATTTCATAATACATAAGAAAACTACAATAAACAAGTAATATATACATTTTATTGTAGAACCCGATTTCCCATATCTTCAAGTTTTAGCGCCATTCCAACCATTGGCTATGAAAGCGTTTTATTGTCCCATAGATACATCGTTAAATTATCAACAGGCGAATAAATTGATTAAAGAGCTTAAGCCTAATGTTTTGGTGATACCGGAAGCCTACACCAAACCACATCCAAATGCCCCGAATCTATTTATCGAGCAACCAGTAAGTACGTGTTTAATTAAGAAAATGAAGCTGTTTTAAAAATTGGTTTTACATTTAAGGATAAAAAGATTATAACTTTCAAATGTGGTGAAATCATTCGTTTGCCATTGAAGCGCAAACTCGATCGTGTATTTATAACTTATGATATGGCGCAAAAAATTGTGCCTCGAGATGTGGGTAACGGCGTGGCCGTATCCACTATCACTGGCATTCTTGAAGTCAAGGATAAGGTGCACAATATACAACCATGCACGGAAACAACAGATGATAAGCCGAGTAGCAGTAAAATGCCTCCCCCAAGCAGAGAGGATGTGCTCAAGAATATGAAGTACGAGTATGGTACCTTAGATGTAGAAATGCTTAAAAAACGTCTAATGCAAGACGGCATTACAAATATTAAAATGGAACGCGCTGGCAATACAATAACGCTGCATTTGGTCAATGAGGATACAACCATTAGGTTTGATGATAACGAGACGCACATAATTTGTGGCGGGAAACAGTCTTTACGCCGTAAGCTCCGCGACTCAGTACTAAAATGTTTACAAAGCTTTTAAATAGAGGCTAAGTATAAAAAAAAATGTATACATACCACATGATTTATTTACCAGACAAAACTTGCGCGCAGCGTGCGCAAACGCAATCGGTACTTTCCACTGCGAAACGTCTACAGCGCGCACATAGATTTAATTCTAACTTTTGTATTTTAACATTACATGCGTCATCCATGTTGGATGGTTGCAGCGTTACGGTTTGAACTTGCAGTAATTCGCAGAGTTCAGAGCTGTACACAGGAACTCCCACTTCTTGTTGCAACGCCATAAGTAGCTGCATTTGCTTATTGTTTTTGTTAATTTCGATTTCTACTGCTAAATTAAATGAATTTGTTCTGCCAGCCTGCTGATTAATTAAACGTTTAACCTCGAGTGCAGCATTTATAGCCTTTTCAGCATTAGAATCCTTCCAGGCTGGGCTTGCGTTAAAATTTTGTTGATGAAACGCACTTTTAGGGTCTGCAAGAAGGGAGAGTATGTCAGTCTAAAAACGTTGCAACTACCTTTATTTATTTATTTTACCATAATAGTGCCAACTTTCCTCCACCATAAAGGGTGCAATGGGCCACAGAGTACTACAAAGTATTTTATAGCAGTTAAGTAACGTGTAACGTATATTACGCAAGTCCGTCTCGTCGCCACAGTAGAGACGATCCTTAATTGTATGTACATAAATGGCTGAAATTTCATTTGCGGTAAAGTTTTGCACGCTGGTCACCACACGATTGTATTCGCAGGCATCATATAATTGCCGTATCTAACCGCAAGTAAGATTTTAAAGCCATACAAGACAAAAAAAAAAAATAATCAACAATATTTACCTCATTTTCATATTCCACCAAAGCGCTTAAAATATAACGGTTTAAGTGGATGCTTCTGCTATCAATTCCATTTTGAATTTCTTCTGATATCTCACCGATTACACCATTTAAATATCGTAAAATAGCACGTATTTTGCTAACGTTGTGCGCCGCTTGCTGCAACAACTTATCACTTACGGTTATCGACATATTTTGTGCGCCATGCGAAGCCACCCACCACCTAAGAATTTCAAGTGAAAAGTAAACTTCGAGCAGGGATATTTGGCATATAATTTTGTACCTTAATGCGTCGACACCATATTCCTTAATGATATCATTTGGCGATATTACATTGCCAAGGGATTTCGACATTTTGTGGCCCTTTTCGTCCACCGTGAAACCATGCACAAAGATTGACCTAAAAATTAGATATGCATTTTAATTTGGAATAAAGAAATAATATAGAAATCCAACTAGCAATTAACAGAGGGATGGAACGACTAGACTGTGGACATTGTTTCTCTTGTATTTATATCAAGGTCATCTGACTGCGGACTTGCAAGAAGCATATTTTCGCGAACCAGTCATTTGATCAATAAAAGTCCACAGAGATGGGCGGAATATATTCGGGAAAGTTTGCCTACTGGTGTCAAAAGACTCGCCCTCCTTTGGAGACTGCTTGTCGTTGAAGTTCAGAAAACGCTAACGGACATGGGGATTTCGTGCACAAGCTATGAGGACGATCCACGACAGTCCGAAGCTGAACTGCCAAGAGAGACCAGGTGCACCCTAGCACAACTCCGTTCTGTGTGGTGCCACAGATTAAACAGCTATCCCTCCCGGCTGAACCCAGAAGTGGCAGACACATGCCCTGCATGCAGGCAAGGTCCACACAACACCCAACACCTCTTCGCTTGCGCCTCTAGCCCCACGACCCTGACACCAGAAGCATTATGGACCGCGCCTATAGAAGCCGCCCGCTTTCTCGGCCTCAGGCTTGTCGAGTCAGAGGACGAAGACAACCCTTGACGAAACCCCGGGGGGGTTGAGTACTGCTGCTACAACAACAACCCACGACAGTCGGGTCTACGTAACCGGAACGAGCTAGATTTATATTTGGCCAAGGACTGTCACACCAGCAGCACTCCCCAAAAACTCTTTGGGGAACTTGTATGCTGCTACAACAACAACGACACAGTCATTATAGCAAGAGGAGAGTACGAGAACGATTTTTGCAACATATTTAAGCAGAAGAGTACTAAGGATGAAAATGTTGTGTGCGGGTGTGGGCCACTGCAAAAACACAGCAAAAGCAGCTATCGTTCCATTCACTAGAAAATAACCATACTTGAATGAAATATTGCTCAAAGCCAAACTCTCTAGATGTCGTGACGACTAAATCCAGTGCTAAAAATGCTCTAATGATATGAAAACTTGGGAGTTACAGTGGTCGGATACTTCTACTTGAAGTGATGGCCGGTAATGATTTGCTCGCCAATGTGTAACAGAATATGTGCCAATGATAAAAGAGTATAATTTATCAGCTTATTATCTTCAGACTACTTACTTGTAGGGTGCCCGATTTCTGGCCGCAATACTTGTCAGAAGCGATGACTGAAACCAGCCGCTAAACTGATCATATCCTTCAAGATAGACATCAGCAACTTTTTCCCCTTGGAGCACACTTGACCATGTACTACCGGAATCAAACCATATATCAAATATGTCTACACTTTTTTCCAAATCAGTAGCACTTTTATTGAATTGATCCAAAACGTGCGCAGGTAATATTTCTTCGACACTTTTTGACCACCAGAAATCAATACTACCTTCCTTTTCTATGAGCTCGCAGATATGATCGATTAAAGTGCTGTGAGAGATTGCAAATGTTAGAACCTGGTAAATATTTCCCCTTTTCAATACTCAACTTATTAAGGTAAATTCGTTTCGTGCCGCGCTCGTAAAAAACTGGTATCGGCACGCCCCAAACGCGTTGGCGTGATATACACCAATATGGACGCTTGCGCAATTGTGCCATCAGCGCTTTTCTACTCGCATCTGCTTGTACACGTGGATAAACACTTATTTTGCTTATCTAAAGGAAAAACGAAGAGACATACATACATATAAATAACAACAAGTAATTTGTATTTGAAAGTATTTCACCTCTTCAATAGCTCGATCTTTTAGTTTTTCAGTATTCATAAACCATTGCTCGCTGGCACGTATAATCACAGGTTTTTTAGTACGCCAATCAATGGGATACGAATGTGTAAGCTTGCCTGCATATATCACCTCTGTTGCAATATTTTCTAACACTAATTCATCAGCTTCCCCAAGCACACTTTTCCCCTTCAAAAAGCCAGGGGCGTCCGAAGAATATACACCATCTTCGTTAACGTAGCATTTCTTATGGTATTAAGGATACAATTAAATAACTTTTAAGCATTTATCTTTTGCGATACTAACCACTGGCAACTTTTTTTCGAGACCAATCAAAAAATCTTCAAATCCATGCGCTGGTGCAGTATGCACAAAACCTGTACCTTTCGAATCTTGCACATGCTCAGCTGCGAAAAATGGTAAATTCTTCTGCTCTCCGAAAAATAGGTGTTGGTATGTACATGAAGATAGTTCCGTACCCCCTAAAATTTGAACTCGCTTGTACGGAATGCCCGTAGTTTCTTCAAAGTTTGGCAATAAACTTGTGGCAATAATATATAGGTCATTGCCGAAAGTAGGCAATTTAAGAACACTGTATTCAAGGGTTGAATTATAGCAAATTGCTTGATTGCTTGGCAGTGTCCATGGCGTTGTGGTCCAAATTAAAGCATATATATTACTTTTTTCTGTCCACGTCAAACTTTTTGGTTTGTTTGATAGTAGAAATCGTACGTATAATGATGGACTGACAAAATTTGTATCATACTCCAGTTCTGCTTCAGCTAGAGCTGTTCTGAAAATTATATACGCTAATGCTTAGTTCAATGCAATATAACGAAAGAAGAAAATACCTCGATGACGGCGACCAATAGACCGGTTTTAAGTCCCGGTAAACCAATCCACGTTCATAGAAATCCATAAACATTTTTAATTGATTTATTATAAAATCCGGCTGCAGTGTGAGATATACGCTTTTCTCATTTACCCAGTCACTTAAAATACCCCAAGAACAGAATTCGTCCTTTTGACGGAACATTGCCTTTAAAGCGAAATCGCGCGCTTAAAATAGATAATTTTAATTTTTAAACGGAAAACTGTTCACTTAAAGTACAAAATCGCGTATCAAGATAATCGGCTCTATTTTTCCCCAATATGTTTTTGTTTTGCATTTCAAATTATGGGAACGATTTGTTCACATGGAATTGGCGATAGGGCTGAATGGCGGATGTGAGATGGAGCAAGTTGTAAAAAGTCTTATTTGAAAACGTTTCTTGTTATATAAAACGATAATTTGGTACGAATGGATAAGGCTTGATGCCAAGAGCTTCCGGAGAGTAAATCTCTGGCACAAATGCCACATGGTTTTAAAGAATGACAATACGCACAGATGTACTTAAAACGACGATAAAGATAAAAAAAATGTTTTAAAATATTTACATTTGCATCGTATGCTCAGCGCATCTTGAGCTTTGGTTTTCATATTTTTATCTTCCTTCCAAGCTGTTGCTTTTAATTCAATGGGCAGGCCATGGCAATCCCAACCAGGTTTGTAATGGACTTTTTGGCCTCTAACCACATGCTGACGAATAGTGATATCCTTAAGAATCTGTACTAAATGGCATCTTACGAGTTTCCGTAATTAAATAACCAAGTATATATTTTCTAACCTTATTTACAGCGTGACCCATATGCAGGTCGCCATTTGCATATGGAGGGCCATCGTGTAGGACAAACGTTGGCTCATGATTATGCTGCTGTTGGTAGCAATAGGCTTCGGAAAATACCCCCTGCACCAAGTAGATAATTACAAACTTTTAATTACATTGCTAAATTGTATAAAGTATTTACCGCAACCAATTGACGCTCTATTTCCAAACGTTTCGCTGCACTAAGACGGTTAGGAAATCTAGTTTTTGGTAAATTAATTGTATCTGTATATTTGATAGGTGGCTTTGTAACTTGTTTTATTGAAAAATATCTTACAGAACGAGAATAAAACATTTTGTTTTGCTTAAAGATATGTATACATATACATACATATGTATAAATGTAACCGAAGCAGTTGGAGATGTGTTTCGGCTAATCAGCTGCGAATTCACTTATAAAAGCCTTTGCCACTATCGTATGATAAATATCGATAATTGAAACAGTTATCATGCATAGTTTGGCCAATTGATTTAAATTTATGTGAGAATTAAGGAACTAATCGCTTTTCGCATATATAAAAAGCTATTTGGAAGATAATTTTACGTGCGTGGCACAGGCTGAACATCGTAACCTCCTTTTGAAATATATCAGTTTGACAGACCTTGCGAAATAGATATATTGCCACTTGTGGCTGATTTTTAGTCAGTAATCGGTGCTAAATATCGAGTCATTGTGTATACGTCTATTTCTATATCGAGTAAAAAAAAATCACCCGCGCGGTTTAAAAGAAGAGGAAAATAGGGGCGAAATGCCGCAGGAAATAAGAGTTGTACAATGCTTTGAATGCAAAATCTACCAGGTATAAATAATCTTTTAACGATATATCGCACGTTTAATAATATAGATAACTACATATTTCAAAATTTTAATTTTGTGGAAAAAGGCAAACGAAGTTTGATCAATTCATACAGTTCGTACACGAAAAGACAGCGCCTGTGTGGGCACCGGGGACTTGTAGGACACAGTGGACGAAGCTACAGACATGCCAAAACAAAGCACTGCGGAAAGCCACCGGATGCTTTCTGATGTCGACACAACATCATCCACACGACGAGGCCCAAATGTTTCCCGTTAGGGAGCATAAGACAATGCTCTGCAAGCAGTTCCTAGTAGCGTGTCACCGACGTGGGCACCCGAACAGACACTTACTTGCTGCGGAAACCTCGCCAAGGCACGTCAGAAGGCATACATACATGCGAACTGTCGAAGGACGAAATCCAGAGGTTCATAAAACAACCTCTAGAGCCGAAAGCATCCTGACAGGCCATAAACAGCATTCGCATGGAATCAGTACTGACCCCCGTTGATTGTCGACCTGTGAATGCCGTTTTGGCAACACAATCACCAGACGTGGACAATACAGGGCTTCGTCTGCCTCGGGGAAACTCGGGCCACAACACAAAAACGTAAATTTTTTAATTATTTCTCCATGTTATTAAACATGCGATATCATATATACTTACATATGTATGTATGTATGTAAATTATTATTTGCTGATATGGTTTTATATCTCAAGGTCGACTTGGTAAAAAAGGCAAAAAAATGGACGTGCAAAGTCTGTAATGCCAAGCAGAATTTACAGCATGAGCTATTCCGCGGAAGTGGGCCAGAATGTCGTGCGCGCGTGCAGGAGCTAAATAAGCAACGTGAGATGAATGCACTCAATAATGATAATTTTGCGTTAGAAGTCATGGAAAATCTTGATGTAGCGATGTCTTTAGAGCAGCAACCAAAGTCAAGCAAACTTGAAAGCAATACCCTTGTCAGTAAATGGTCGAATTTCGTTGACGAAAGGAGTGAAAAATCAGCCACTCTGATAAGTAGCGATAAACATAAACAAGAAATGGATAACCTATTTTGCTTTCAAAACACCCAAAAGTGGGCAGCGTCGAAATCTGACCCATCAACAAGAAACACAATGCGTTCCTCACTAGAAAATTGTGTTAACGAAAGCAAATGGGACGCATATATATGAAGTCTAAAATGAAAGGGCGAATACTAGAGAATTCATTCGACTAACCTTAAATATTTGGAACATTTGCCATCGTTTTAAATATACACACCATATTTTAATATGTTATGATGAATATATGACAAGTTTTTTTTTTCTATGCAGAATTGGATATGTGTTTTTTTTATTTTAAAAAATTTTTGGCGTTTCACTCATTCTTCAAAAGCACAACAAGACCAAACTACAGGTCCAATCCCGTATTCCTCGGACAAAAACTGTCAAAAAATAAAAATTTCCTCAGAGCGAGGACTTTGAAATTTCAAAGATATGATTAGGCACTGAAAATGTCCTTTTAAAATTTTGTCCTTGAGTATCCTTGCAAATTTACAGTTTTTGAAAAAATATAGGTTAACATTGAAAACTACGGGATCGCTTCTAGTTTGAAAATGGTAACTTCTGTCAACTTCAACAAAACCTCCAAATTTTGGCTGTAAATGTTTGCTTATTTTGTATGTGAACACACTCAGCTCACACATGTAAATAACCAAAAATACTTGCAAATTTATTAAAATCCACTTAAACAAATAGTTAAATACTTTTCAATATGAATTACCAGAGTGCACTTTTCTTTCGTTTACAATTTCGTTGCCGAAAACACTGATTGTTTGGCACATTTATCAGAATTTAACAGCAAAAAATCTTCGGACTAAAATTGCTAACTTTTGACTGAGAGAGGACCTTATTTACTCTCTTTTTTGTCCTCTCAATAGTCGGACAACCGAGTACGGAATCGATTTCAAGTAAAATCTGACTAATTCTGACTAGTCCGGACTCGTACGGAATCGCAACTTAAGATAGAGATCTTTCCCGGCAGGACTGCATAACGTTCTCTAGAATCAGCGGGGACAACTCTCTTCTCAACCAAACACCAGTACACTAAACGCGAATCATTTTCCTGCTCATCCGGCCTTACAACGTTGACCGTTGAACATCGTGTTGTACTGTCCCACCTCTAACATGCCTATTCAGCGATAGTAACTAAAATTTTGTTACCGGTAAATAAAGTTCCTGGTAATTTTTAAACCCTTTTCGCATTCTGCGCACTGGTAGATTGTGTTACCATCTCATAAACAGGTAACAAAATATTGCCCCATGAAGTATGCAACACCAGAGTTTATACAAAATTTCATAGCTGAATTGCTGAATAGTTTAAATTGTTACTAAGGTACTTAGAATTGCGGTTACAAGAAGGACAACATCACCGAAAACAAAAGAATGCTATACAGCCAAATATGTCTATCCCGCACCATGCAGTATTTTACAAATTCATTTGTAAAATATGGCCCTTATCATGAGCTGCATTCGATTTTCGATCTTCGCTGGCTATCGAAGATCGAAAGTGAAATTCGTATTATGAGCTATGCAAGCGTGTCGAAATTTTCGTTGAGTATCGAATTTTCTGTCGAACAGAATTTTGCTTTCGATGGTTTAGCGAAGTGTTAGAAAATTGTGAAAAATGTATGATTTTGTATATGTTTTCTTACATTTTGGCGGCTAGACATTAATTTTAAACAATTTTTATTAATTTCATGCAGTTCTAACATCTTGAATACTAAACACAAGCTCGAAAGGCTGGTTTTACTTGTGAAAGAAAATCCCAATACTCTGTTGGCACGATCTCTGAGAACAAAATCGTAGCGCTGTTGATAGTTTTAAAATATTTTAAATAGATTTGGCTCACAAACGCCTCTTTAGATGGTCGGAACTTTTTAATGAATCTGTAGACAAATTTCTTAAATATATTTTATATCAAAATATATTCGAAAGACTAATAAACTTAAATGTTTAAGAGAACATTTGCTACTCCTGGCCAGTTTACTAAGCTCTCATCCTCTGACGAATCGTTGAACCAGAACTCGTTGTACTCATTTTACCACGTTTTTATAAAATTGCTTTCTTTTTTACTTCATTTTTATTAGAACAAATTTGCATAAATATGTATAAGCACACTATTTAGTTTGCTCGATTTGTAAACAAAGCTTCTCAGCGGTGAAAAATATACTATTGTGAACAACCTAAACGAGCGAAATTCACAATAGCGCTATTCTTCATCGAATGAGCGCCATAATACCAAATGAAAATTCGTTCCCTCAGCACTTTCGACCACAGTCGAAAATCGAATGCAACTCATAATAGGGGCCAATGTTTTTAGCTGCTCTCTCCGCCCATCGCTGATTTAGGGTGGTATTATCACTTGCGAAGCGAATGATTTTGGCGAAGCGAACGGTTTGGCGAAGCGAATTAAAAAGGAAAGAAGGGATTAAAAGTGTTCGCTATGCAAAGAACTTGCACAAGCTGGTAAAAGCGAACACTCTTAATGCATATTTAAATTGCGTTCGCCAATCCATTCGCTTCGCCAAACCGTTCGCTCCGCCAAATTCATTCGCTTCGCAAGTGATAATACCGCCCACTCGGGGGTAACAACCCTCCCCCTTTTGTCCGACCCGTTGACGACGATTCAGGTACAAGCCGATTTAATCATTTATGTAGTGCTGCTAAAACATCTCCCCCTGTTTGGAAATGCATCAATGCCAAACATCAGTTTGGGTGCGTTCAGAAATGCATCAAGCCAAAGCATCAGTCTCTTTTATTTCTAAACTATAACTGATAGAAATGCCAAACATACGCAACCACGGTTAAAAGCCGAATTGTAACATAGTTGCGTAAATAAGAAACTTCTCTCTATTATAGTTGCCGTCATCAACGTGGTCGGACCAAAGTGGAGGGGTATCATCTGAATTTAGAAATTAGAGATTGCTGCTTTGGATTGATTCATTACCGAACCTGGGGGTCTCTTAGATCTTCATCTATACTAGAGGCCTGCACGAGTGAATCCGGCATCGTATGAGTACGTGTACTAGTAATTTTTTTATGAGTACAGCGATCCTTTTTTGGAATCATGATCGTAAACGTCTTATATGAAAATGATGATATGAAAAAAATGTCCGTTTGCTACCAAGTAAAACGATGCTTTGCCTACGATGCCAAATTTAAATTCAAGTATTCGCATCGTTTCTATTCATACTCGGCATTATTAACTGGTTATATTTTTACTTACTCGTGCAGGTCTCTAATCTATACCCACTTGTGAGAGTTTATTTATGTAATAAGTTAATAGTAAACAAATATTCTGCCTCATCTCGAATTCCATGCAAACAATTATTTCCGAAAATTTTAAAGAAAAACAAAAACAATTTTTTCTAATTTGGCGATAAGACTGATTTTTAAACAAGCCTTCTGAATATGGACCTCCTCTTCCTGCGCCACCTATTCACATAAGTATATATTGGCTGACTTCCAAAACGTACCAATACAATCTGTGGACACCGTTCTACTGCGGTATTTAAGCTGCGAAACATTGCATATTTTGAATATTCAATAACGCTGTTCAGAATTTTATGGAAATGGTCTTAGATTTGCAGTTGGAATTACATTTGCTAATTNTTTGTATATGCAGAGCTGCGAAACATTGCATATTTTGAATATTCAATAACGCTGTTCAGGATTTTATGGAAATGGTCTTAGATTTGCAGTTGGAATTACATTTGCTAATTTTATGCTTGCTGCATGGAAACCGTGTGCATTTTATTGTTGTGAATTTATAAATGCAGCTAATATGCAAATGCAAGAGCGTATGCACAAGATCCTGAATAGCCCTAATATACATATACACCGCCAGAACAAAGTATTGGCACAGCAAATTTTTCACAATATATGCAACAAATTTCATTCTAATACTTTTCCGTTAGTTTTTTATAAAAATATGGTTCATTCTATAACAAAAGGCATAAAAATATAATTCCTAAACTTTGTGCGAAACTCACGAAAATTCAGCAAATTTTCATGCAAACTTTCAACTTTTTAATCAGATTTTTTAGAATTTTTTTGAATATGCAGATTTGTAGCCCAATCAATTTTATTATAGTAGTAAAGCTAAGAATTGCCGTTGATTTTCGGCCGTTCTTTTCACGCAGTCTCTTCTATACAACCTTTTTTTTCGAAAATACTTTATATGGAAAAAATGTAAAACACCTTCAACAAAAAAAATTCTCAAAAATCAATGCAATTTTTGACTAACTGCGAAATTGCATTGTTTTTACTAGAATTTAATGGGCTACAGCAAAACTGCATACTTAAACAATTTCTAAAAAATCTGATTAAAAAGAATTTGCATGAAAATTTTCCGAATTTTCGCGAGTTTTGCACAAAGTTAAGGAATTATATTTTTATGTTTTTTGTTGTAGAATGAACCATATTTTTATACAAAATTCGCAGAAAAATATATGAATAAAAATTGTTATATATTGTGAAAAATTTGCTGTGCCAATACTTTGTTCCGGCAGTGTATGTAACAATGAATAACCTCTCGTAATTTTGCATTTTCACAACACCAATCGCAACTAAAAACAAACGAAGCAATCAACTTTGTTTCTGATGCGCTGATTACTCTAGCGATGTGTTTCGACAACTTTTCGGATGCGTTTTGGAAAAGTATACAATGTCAAAATTTTGTAGTTCCGATGTTATGGAACATTATACTTTGTACGGGTGCAATGCAATTGGTGTTTTGGAAGTCAGCCATTATAACAAGTAATTTTTAAGCAAAAGACACAACCGACTTCAAATTTCACATAAACAGTTAGGTGTACCCAAGGCACATTGATATGCCTTGGGTATACCTTTAATTTCTTCATGATCCAAGGATCGGATCTAAACCAAATTAGTATGGGACCAACCTTGAGGTACCACCTTCAGATAAAATAATGATCGAAAAAAATAATATTCGGACGACTTGATAACCTCTTCCTGTTTATTGAAGTCGATTGAAAATCAACTAAANATAGAAAAAAATAATATTCGGACTTGATAACCTCTTCCTGTTTATTGAAGTCGATTGAAAATCAACTAAATCCAGTTTTTAGAACACTCCCACCTACCGGCTGGAGTTATTTCCTTCCATGTATGTATGTAGGTAATAACATGCATTCAAGTGAGACCCAAATACAGATTTTCCTCTAGTTCATTCAGAAGTTGGTTAAAAATTTATTGCAAGATTTGACCCAAACAAACAAATCTATTATATACATACAGGCAAGTTAAAAAGCTTAATGCCCAACCTGCGCAACCACGTAATTTTTGCTCTCTAAATAAAAACAATATTTATTTTTTATTAGGTATATTTATTTGATCAGAATTATAGTATTCATATCGTGACCCGAAAATACATATTTTGCAACCGCCCGTTGCTTTTTAGTTTTTTATGTGGATGGAGAGGCTGGTTTCCGACTCAACTGTTGTCCACTATTTAAACATTAATACAATATATTTTTTTAATATGAGAGAAAGTGTTTTCAAATCTAAGACTACAAATATAGAACGCTGTACTAAACGATTTCCGCAATAGCGACAGACTAAGCTGCAACTTCTTTCTTAGATACTTTTTCATCTGGGCAGCTTTCTTCGCCTTCGCCTGCATCGGCTTCACCACCTGCAGCACCTTTGCCTGCTGAACGACGACGCTTACGATTTAGACGCCATGGCCGTATGGGAAACTTCAAAGCAGGCAATTGATCCATGCCAAGAACTTTATAAATTTGCCTGAATGCAATATAACGTAAGAACAATTGTGCTGACACGGTTAGATCTTCACGCTGTTGTTTAGTCAAATCCTGCAAAGCATCTTGTGCTTCCTTCTCGCATGGATCCAGTAGGCCAGGTCCGTTTATAAGAAAACCAGAAGCCAATGCCTCCATTATGCGACGCAAACAGTCGCCTGGTGAAATTGGGAAACCGGCCGATGAGATCACTTTCTCTACTAACAATTCTAAAGACCATTGTGGCAATGCTTGCCAAGACTGGATACGTTGGCACAGATCACGTAAAATACGAATGACCATTACGCACGATTGTAGACCAGTGGCGCGTGCTTGGAACCACTTAGCATGACGCAACTCGGCTAAAGCCTTAAATATAAAATGAAAATAAGCAACAAAATGATTTGTAAACTGCAAATATTTACATATCGTCGTTTAAAGTACAAAACCGCGTATCACGATAATGCAAAACCGTGTATGTAAGTTCACCAAGATTTTACAGGAGAGAGTAAAAATATATGCACCTATTGATCAGCAGTATTGCAACTATGCTATTATTTTGAAGTACATAGTCTAATATCGATATCTTGGCAAGAATAGATAAGGCTTTATAGCTGGAGCTTCCTATGAGCAAATCAAATTTTTGGCACAAATCTCAGTTACGCGGTTTTGCAAAACGACGATAGGCGGTTTTGCACTTTAAACGACGATATGTATTTTACTTTTCTTACCCTGAGACACGGTTCTCTTGGCAAAGGTGCAGCATCACCAGTACCGCCTTTAGTATTAGCGGCATCAGTTTTACCATCTTGAGCAACTTCACGCAATAGAGGCGAAGTAAGTGATATCTTTACGGATACCACATCATCACGCACAAAAACGGCGGACTCTTGAGCCACCACTTCGACGACATAATCGACGGGATTTTCGCCTGAAAACAAAGACAAATATTATTAAAAATTTTGTCGATCAAGCATTTAATAAAAAAAATAAAATAAAATGCAGAAAATGTTTTCTTTGTGTTTGCCACATGTTTAATCTCTGAAAGTATGGGCTAAAAGTGACAAACTAAGTTTGACAAAATTTATTTCATTGCATCTAAAAGAAAATTAAGCTTCCACACATTGCATAAACTTGTCACTTTTACCAATATTCATATCATTAAAGAGCATTCGTTTTAACCTTTGTGTGGCAGAGATAGTTAAAAAATTTGATCATATTTGTACACTAATAGATCAAAAATACTTTATAAGTTTGGATTATGAAACGGGAATGTAAGGCGTTTGGAACCCGAGATGAAAACAAGTTGGAGAGGCTTGGCAAAACACAAAAAATATTAGCATAAGATATTATTTTTCCACAGTTAAAAATAGTATAAATTTGGTCTGACTAATCATCGGAGAATAATGCTGTCATGAAAGCCCTCAGCGTCTAGATAAATGTATTGGCAACTTGATTTAAATGACAACATCGTCATATGGACCAGTGAATAATTGACAAAGATATTTAATATTTTTTCTTTTGTTGGAACCAGATACAAAACAACGCGTGCAGTAAACAGTACTCAGACTATATGTTGTACATTGTACTGTTTTCATTTCCCTTTTAATTTGTTTAAAACTACACGATTTACGAATAAACCTAGGCGGATTTCTGGGTGTTAAAGAGGTGTTCGTCTCTCAACACATCGCGACCAAATGCCGCATATCTAATTCTTGCAAAGGCGGGGCAGAAGCACAAACAGTTTTCCACCGTCTCATCCTCTTCAAAGCAGGATGGGCAAAAGGCGTACGGCTATCACAGTCAGGTGTTTTTGAAAAGTGAAGTGGCCAGTCAGCAGTCTAACAAGTTGTCTGCAGTCCCATCTGCTCAATGAGAGCAAGTAACTAGATAGACCTTCTGAGATTGAATGCATCTATGAGTTTTGTCCACCTACAGCCCCTCGATGCCAAATGTCTCATTACCAGGTATTCCCGAGTGACCTGGCACTCAGAGTAAAGGAAGCCAACATTATTTAGTCGAGACTTGCATTACCGAACTAGTTTGGAATCAGTTAAGAGGGCTGGCCAAAGCCCTAAGTGCAGCTTGGCTGTTGTTGTTGTTGTTGTAGCGGCTACAACAACCCCGCCCAGATCGGTTAGTATCCCAGTCGTTGTCGTCAAGCTCAACTAACGGAAGACCCAAGAAGCGTGCGGCCTCTATAGGGTCTGTCCACAGGGACAGAGGCGTCAGTTGCGTGGAGTTTTCCAGGGCATACGAAGAGATGTTTCGAGTCGTGGGGTGTCTCTCCGTATGTCGGATACTCATTTGGCACATCTGCATCTAATCTGGTCAGGTATGAGTTCAACCTGCTGCAGTAGCCAGAGTGAAGTTGGGCTATTGTGGTCCGCGTCTCCCGAGGCAGACAAAGCTCCGTCTCGTCTATGTCAGGTGGTTGTGTGCCCAGAACGGCATTCGCAGGTCTGGAGTCTACGTAACTTGAGACTGACTCCCTGTGAATGCCGCTCAGGACCTGTCCATATGCTGTCGAGTCCAGAGGTTGCTTTATGAACCTCTGGACTTCGTCCGTCAGTTCGTAAAAATGCCTTCTGACATGCCTTGGCGAGGGCTCCTCTGCAAGCAGGTGTCTGTTCGGGTGTCTACGTCTGTGGTTCTCTACTAAGAATTGCTTGCAGAGCATTGTGCTGTGCTCCTTTATGGGGAGCATTTTCGCGTCGTCGTGTATGTGGTGTTCTGGCGACATCAGAAGACATCCGGTTGTTGTTGTTGTAGCAGCATACAAGTTACCCAAAGAGTTTTTGGGGATTGTTGCTGGAGTGACAGTCCTTGGTCAAATATAAATCTGGGTCGTTCGTAGACCCGACTGTCGTGGGAACGAAGGCATCCGGCCGTTGTCCGTAGTGCGGTGTTTTGTGCAGTCTGTAGCTTCATCCACTGCGTCCCACTAGTCCTCGGCGACCACACTGGTGCTGCGTAATTTACAACCGGCCGACCAATTGCCTTGATGTTGCCAGCAACGTTTCTTTGTCTTTGCCCCAGGTACTGCCGGCTAACGACTTGAGGACCTTGTTGCGGCTCTGTACTTTGTTGACAATTGCGGTTGTGTGCGCAGAGAAGGAGAACAGACTGTCGAATGTTACACCGAGTATTTTAGGGTTATTCACCGTCGGAATTGGTGCGTCATCAACGTGAATACCCAGCGGTAGTCTGACCTCCTTCGTCCAAGTGGTAAATAAGGCCGCAGAGGAAGGAGAGGGTTTCGCAAAATACGGGAGTAGAAAGGCCTCTAGTGTCTTCGCCATCGGGGAAAGGAGTGTTATCGGACGATAACTATTTTTTGTTGGCTGGTTTCCCCGGTTTGAGCAGTAGGATTCCAGATGTCTGGAATGACGAGAGTGGCCATTGACCGGTTGAGAACCTTGGCTAAATAGTCTATAGTATAGACCCAAATTTTTCAGCATCAACATGCATATTTCGTCGGGTCCCATGGCTTTCGAGGCTTTCGCTTTCCCAATGGCTACCTGAACTTCACCGTTGGTGAAAATAAGAGGCTCACTTGTGGTTGACAGTTTGTGCAGCCTTCTGGTCACTCGACGCTTGGCTTTGTCCACCGGAGGATGCAGTATAAATTGCCGGCTAAAATAGCTCGCGCGTCGCTCCGGGTCCGACAAAGCACGGTTGCCAAAAGATATTTCGACTCTGTCGTCGCGCTTTGTCTGATTGGTCAATGATCTCACGGTTGACCAAAGCTTACTCACACCAGAGGTGAAGTTGCAAGTCTTCAGATGTTCTTCCCACTTTCTCCGTTTATGTACGTTCACAAGCTGCCGAATCTCCGTGTTTAGATCTCTGATACGGGGATTTCCTGGATCTGCCTAACGACGGTTGTCACGCTCATCGGCTAGGGCAGCCGCTTCAGCAGGAAAGTTTGGACGGGGGCCGTTATGCAACCTGCTGGTACGAAGCCAGCTGTAGCAGCAGTGACAACCCTGCAGAACTTACGTTCACCTAGGTGAACGTCGGTTGGTGTGGGAAGGGAAGCGAAGGTGCTTTCAGTGAATTCCGCGAAGCCTTTCCAATCCGCTTTGGTAAAGTTGGTATAGGTCTGGTGTTCCGCGGAAGTAAATCGAGATGACTATGGACAGATGGTCTGATGCAAAGGTCAGCATAGGTCGCCATGATATGCTGTTTATCAGAAGACCAGCGCTGACTAATGTTATGTCTAGCGAGCTGCGGCAGCTTCCCATAATCCTGGTAGGTGCGTCGTTGTTCATTGTGCAGAATGTCAAATCGTCTATTTGCTCAGCCAAGTTTATTCGTCTACGATCATTTGACAGGCATGAATGCCAAACATCGTGGTGCACATTAAAGTCGCCAACTACCATTCGGTTTTCACCTCTGAGGAGCGCACCTATTTCAGGGTGATATCCTGCAGGGCAGCTGGTGACAGGAGGTATATAAACGTTAAATATTTCGAGCTCGACATCGTCTGACCGGATAGTAATGCCCTGACATTCTAGTATGATATCCCTGCGGTCGATGTCTGCTTAGATGAGACGATACTGCACGGTGTGGTGCGTACTGACGCTAGGCCACCACCATTATGTCGCTCGCGATCTCGGCGGTGCACATTGTATCCGGCGCAATTTAACAATGTTAAATTGCTGTGCAGCTTCCATGCCAGCTGTGCCTTCCCATGAAGACGGTTATCTCTTCGATATTCGTGTCATTCGGGAGACGTGTTGTTATGCGGGGGTGAGGGATGTGTGTTGCCTAACCGCCGTAGGCGTGTTGTGTTGTGGTGCTGTGGTGTTTGTGTTGAGCTGCTCAGGCGGACTGTGGTTTGCTCTGGAGGCAGCTCTGTTGGAGCAGCAGGGGGCCACAAATCGACTGCTGAGTGTAAGATCGACCTATCTCAGCAGCCAGTTCAAAAACGCCCTATCTCAAAAAACTTTTCAAGAACGCCTTATTTCAGAACTCGTTTCAAAAATGCCCTATCTCAGCTGCCGATTCAAAAACGCCCTATATCAGCACATTTTCAATACATTTTGAAGTAAGATAGGGCGTTTTTGAACCCAATTCTGAGATAGGGTGTTTTTGAATAAAATTCTGAAAAGATTTTTGAGATAGGGCGTTCTCGAACTGGCTGCCGAGATAGGTCGATCTTCCACTCAGCAGTCGAAATGCAAAGTAAAATTTTGACAGTTCAAAAAATAAACAAACACTCGTGCGAAAGCTCTATTTTTGTGTTTTGCTGAAACTGCTCAAATTTATACATATTTTGCAACTTGCTTTTTTATGCTTTTCCCAGCTTCCATTTTGATTTTCACTCTTTATTACCGCCAAACAATACTGTGCATACATATTTATATGCTGTAAAAATTTTACCTAGCCCTGAAAAGCTAGGTGAAATTCTGACGTTCGTATTCACCACGAGAAATGTCAAATTTTTAGTTTCATCCGTCAAAATTTCCTATTTTCTATGAATTGGCACACGCCCTTAACCTATGAAAATTAACAAAAATAAAAATATTTGGTGCTTACACTTTTGCTAAGACTTGGGCCGAGCTTATCCTCTAATTACAAAAATGGAGGAACCTACTGTTATCGCCTCAAAACACTTTCTAAAAAATATGTGGAGCGGCAATGGATACAAAGAGCTTACACCGTTCCCACAACAGTCTACAAAACCTGAACAAATCAGACATAACTGTAGACCAGTCAGCTAGTAGCCTCGCGATGCTATGTGCGCCAAAAGGTGTTCTTACACGATATGATACTTTTTACATATGGAAATGCCAAAGGCAAATTAGTGGGTCGATTATCGATAGCAACCGAACTTCAGTTGCGTTGCTAGCTGCAGAAACGATATTCCAGATGGCAACTGGCAACTGTAGGTGCCACAAAGTTTGTATTCAGGCTACCACATTT